AGGGTCTTTATGATTGTGCCATTAATGGGGAGCAAGTCTTTAGAATTGTGCCATTAATGGGGAGAGGGTCTTTAGGATTGTGCCATTAATGGGGAGCGGGTCTTTAGGATTGTGCCATTATTGGGGAGCGGGTCTTTAGGATTGTGTCATTAATGGGGAGCGTGTCTATTGGACTGTGCCATTAATGGGGAGCGGGTTTTTAGGATTGTGCCATTAATGGGGAGCGGGTCTTTAGGATTGTGTCATTAATGGGGAGCAAGTCTTTAGAATTGTGCCATTAATGGGAAGCGGGTCTTTAGGATTGTGCCATTAATGGCGAGCGGGTCTTTAGGATTGTGCCATTAATGGCGAGCGGGTCTTTAGGATTGTGCCATTAATGGCGAGCGGGTCTTTAGGATTGTGCCATTAATGGGAAACGTCCTAATTGGTTCTGAGGGCTGTCTTGCTCTTGGTTTTATTTCTAACATAAATGCGTCGTGTATCTGGCTGTTGAAAAGGCGAACAAATGCAATGGTATGGACATGTAATCAGATCTAACAGCCTCTCAAAAACAATACTACAGGGATCAGTAGAGGAAAAGAGGCAGACCAAGAAAGACATGGTTACAGAACCTGACTGACTGGACAGACCTCAGACATGCATCCATGAAGTCCATCGCAACTGACCGCCGAGGGTGGAGAGAGCTGATCAGACAGTCAGAAACTGGTGACCCAACGACACGTAGTGTTACAGGATGATGATGGTAATCTGGCTATTCAATATGACCTCCAATTTCTGCCAAGCAGTCTGCTCTTTCATTTCCACTGGAACAAAGTTGGGTTGGTTGGCTAACCCATTTGATCTAGCATAGATCCAAGCTTGTTTAATTGTAGTTTCCTATCATTTTGAATTAGCGGTACTAAGGGATGGCTACTTACTATACATACATACACACACATATATATATATTTATAAAAAACACCGCAACAATTTACAAACACAGCAGTCAGTAATGTTTTGTCTATAATGCGACGAACATTCAAGAATTCGAGAAAGAGATTTGATTGGTAGGTTCCATTGTGTACACATTACACACACACACACACAACAGTGGGAACCCCTTGAGGCCAATGAAACAGTATATATATATATATATATATATATATATATATATATATATATATATATATATATATATATATATATAAGCATAGTCGAATAAAACGAGTAAAAACATATTATTTGAAGCTGTTTCAGGACAGAAGAAAAGAAAAGTCTAACTGTGATGGTTTCAATCTTACCTTGTAATCAAAGGAGAAAATCTCATCATCTGGTACAACGGCCACCTGGGGAAGAGTACATCAAACAACAAGTGTTCATTTGTAGCTTTTTATTAGCTAGTATTTTTTGCTGAGCTTGCGAAGTATTTCCTTTTAAATATTTCCTAAGTGTTTGTGTGTATGTTCATTTTTGTGTGTGTGTGTGTGTGTTTTTTTTTTTCCTCCCCTTTTCTGGTTTTTTATATATTTTTCCCTAGCTTGTCTTTTTTTTTGGGGGGGGGGGGGGGGGTGGAGTGGATGGGAGGGGGAGTATGAATTTAGTTTTTCTGTGTTCAACTGTTGGTTGTGTAGTTTTAGGCTTTTAAACTTTTTGCTTTTTCGTTTTTTGGATCTTTAGTTGTTGGACGTTTAATTTTTTTATTTTTTTTAGGGGGGGGGGGGGGGGGGGGGGTTCGGTTTCTAACCAAGAGTCACTTTCTCTGTACATATTTACACATTCACCTCTTCTAGTGCTGCAATATCTACGAGGAATGAGGGAGAGAGGACAACATAGTAGAACACGACGCCATAAACGTGACAGTAAAAGCCAATGTAAGTCAGAACGAACTGGCAAGAGTCATCTGGAACATTCAACAGGGAGGCCCAGTCAGTCCTGAAGAAAGTAATATATTATGCTGCCGTGATCGCACTTCTGGAAACGCGACTGAACTCGGAGGAAGCTCTGAATGTCTCAGGTTGTCAAACTAACTACAACATTGAATAGCTAGGCCTGACAATCCTAGTCAGGTCTCAATTGTAGATACAAGTGGGTAGAACATTGGCTTTTACAACAGCGAAATTCAGCTGCCGACGGTGGTGGTAGACGGACGGAAGCAAACCTTTCACGCTAACTAACATTGGATGTCAGCGAGACAGGTCACACAGAACACCGCTAGCGACCCCTGTGGGGGACACATAAAGTCGCAGAAGTCTGGACAAAGAAAATAAGTGTCACCACAAGACTGGTAGAAATGCAGAATGTCTTTGAATTCCTCTGATGCTCAGAGGGGGATAACATTAAACACGGAAAAGATAGACCCGCTGAACACTTTAAACAACTTGAAAAGGAGTTTTAGCAAACGAGGTGGGGAACATATTTGTCAAGAAAAAGATTACGAAAAATCTCTCAGAAAATGATGGCTGTTCCGCCGCAAGAAGAACCAGGGCAAACATATTTCTGGTATTCGTGGGCTAATGAAGAACAACGGGGTGGTGTTACAGTCAGATGAAGACGAGGGTGAGGCTATCCTGCACAGATTTCACCTGCAGACAGAAAAAACAGACAAAAACGAGAGGAAGCAGATGAAACAGAGAGTACCCGATATCCACATGGCTACAATGGAGGAAGACAGTATATACATTTCGACTGCATCTCGACAAAAGACCCGTCCAGACACAGGTCCAGGGCCTGATAGTATTAGATACAGCGACTTCAAAAGTCTCGAGGAGACAGATATGGATGCTATTATTTATTTCTAAGTAATCAGCTCACCTAGCAATAGGTGTTTCGTCCTTTTTAGGACGAAATTTTTCTTATTTCAAGCCCCACCCTGGCTTTTGCCAGGGCCGCAATATAGGCAGGCCATAAATATGGCAAATTGTCTGAACGCAGTTTCTGGGACCTCTCCACGGCGATCCTCATCCACGTGGTGGCACATTGTGTCATCGGGTGTTTATCGCTTGTGTGATGTCCTAGTGGGGTAGAAAGTCAGTCAGTCAGTCAGATATGGATGAACTATCCATGATATTAAACAACAACATGAATACCGGCATTATCCCTGATGACTGGCTTCATTCTCACTTCTCGTTATGCCTAGTGGCACATTGGGCTTAAGAGAGGACTTTTCATGCTTTCCTGTCCTGTGCAATCTTCAGTGCAGTTTTCCATGTCAGAGATGCCGCACTCAGGTCACTTTCCATCGTTCGTCTCCAAGTTGTTTTTGGGCGCCCCTGTTTTCTCTTTCCCTCTGGTGTCCATGTGAGAGCTGTTTTGGCAGGTATATCAGCATTCATTCTCATAACGTGGCCAAGCCATTTCCATCTTCTCTTGGATATCATACCGTCTAAAGTTTCTTGGTTTGTGACTTGAAGTATTTTAGTGTTTTCCCATCATGGGCTTCCTTTCGGCTTTCACCCATGTTGTTCATGTTGACAGAGGGACTCTGTCCCAAGACCGCGGACGTTTAGAACACTTATTTCCTCTTGAAGTTTCAGTAACGCTGTAGGTTTTTTTACAGGGCAGAGCTGTCAACACTGAGCCCAACCCCCGAGCCTGGAGGACCGGGAGGCCATCTTTAGTCTGGCCCCTCACCAATGACTTGTCCGGCTTGGGTGACCCTACCAGGAACATACGTTCCCGCCGGCAAAGCTCATTAGATCATTGAGGCTCTCAAGCTCCCCCACCACTACAAGGTAATGGCCTCTGGGGGAAGGGGTTTGAGGTAGCTTTATAGCTACCTCAAACCCCTTCCTAAGCATGTGGTCCGTGACAATCCCCATTTGGAACATTGTGGCCCCTAAGTAGACAGTTGAATAGCCCTGGTATTTGGGATGACTCTCCTCCCCAATAATTGTTAGCGGGTGAGCGCTTCCCTCCTTCCCTTCCCATAAAATGTGTTAGGGCCCTAATGCCCCCCCCCCTTTTTTTTTCGTCCTCCTCCCCTCCCACCCCCACCCCCCCCCCTCACCAGCAACAACTACACCAGCCTTTACACGCGAGAAGCCTTTCGGGCAAATGAGGTTAGACTCATATTTGTATAAACCAATTATCCTCGATAGGTGATTCGCTCGACATCACACCGACCGCTTTTACTTCCCATGACTTCACCTGGTACCAATTGCTATCTGGGTGGATCTGGCAGCCAAGGTCATGCTTGAAAAAAGAAATGTTGGCATCGTGCGGATTTGAACCAAAGACCCTCAGACCGCACGCGATCGTCAGTTTAGCCACTACACCACGGTGGCTCCCAGTTGACCAGGAGGCAGACCAAGAATACGGTGGAGAGATATTGTACATACAACCCTACATACACTTGGTGTCATCAACTGGAAACAGAGGGCCAATCACAAATGTAAAGGGGAATGAGGAATATCTGCAGCGATAATTCTGAAAGGTTCGGTATGCGGAAGAAGAAGATAAACAACTAAGAGAGCCGTATCTTTGACTGGCAATTGAACACCACACATCAACTGTCAGACATTAGGAACAAGTAAAAAGCCGTTTGCGTGCCACTGTCGAACTGGACAAAGGTTGCCAAACAAAATATTTGTATAGCAGAGTTTGACATTTCCCCCTGTCAATTTAAATTTGGCAGACCTTGGAATAAGAGCTTTTTTTTTCTGGCCAACACAGATTCGAACCCACAACGATTGGGCTGGTAGGCAGGAGTCTAGCCACTCTACTACTGCTGTTAATTAAACAGACATACTTGGAGTTATACCCAAGCCAATTTCCAGACAGTTTAAGTTGCTGTATAAAAACTTGGAGAAGAAACAAAGTTTTACCTGCACTGGCCCGTTAGGTAATTTTTGTGCCAACTGGTAAGCTGCTCTTTTTTCCTCCAACACTTGCTTCCTTTGGTCTGGAAACTCGTCAAACTGTGGCAGGGTAGTGTCCAATAGCACAATATTATAATGAACATTGGTCTTGATCCATCGGAATATCGGAAAAACAAAATTCTCCCCACTAGCCTTGTTTTCCACCTCAATCCTGTCCACAAACCAATCACTGGCACATCCTGTCCCGTCCTGCCACAACTCAATCCGCTTTATTTTAATGGGCTGGTGTAAAGATGCAGTAACTTTTGGTGTTACTGCAAAAGTATCCACACTTCCACGTTCACAGTCGTTGCGAAGTGTGTTATTTAGAAGGATTGGTGGTGTTGTGTTGTTCTGGTCATCGTGTAGGATGACATAAGCTGAGGCATCAGTTCCGGCACCTTTTTTGTCTCCTGTGTAGACACGGACAGTAAGGTTCTTGTTGGTGTTTCCCATGTTCAATTCGAGACAAAAGTTCACACTGTCGGCTTTCACAAACAGTTCAGTCTGGCACTGTACATAAAATGTTCAGCCTAATAGTAGGCACAGGTTCGGACTGGTAGACAAACAAAACTGTAACCTTTGCAGTGTTCACAAGATGTTCAATCTCGCAGTAAACTCACAACTTTCTACATCTGAGGTGTATACAGAATGTTCTATATATGCAGTGTACACTACACAGAAAGTTCAAACTTGTAGTGTATACAAAATATTCAGTACTGCAGTATACACAAAATGGTTATTCACTCCGTGTACAAAAAAAGTTCAAAATCACAGTGTACACTAATTGTTCACACCCTCAGTGTACACAGAATGTTCACACTCGTAGTATACACACAAAAGTTTAACCTCAAGCACAAACGTCTGCTCCGCAGTATATTGAAATCCGACTGAATGGTGTTTTAGAAAAAAAAAGGTTATATTAGTTTCTGACTGATTCGGGTGAAATAGGTTACTATTTCAAGGCATACAGTAGCAACACGTAGCTCGTGGTAACGTGACCATGCGTAAACAACGGTTGGCCTTAATATGTTGGCCTCTGGTGTTCGCGCACAACAATGCGTGCGATGAAATGGGCGTTGGTTTTGGATGACTTTGACCAATGAAATTTCTACAGTGCAGCAGTCTTGTTTCCGTAGTTGTTTATATCCCAGGGATTCTCCAATGTATCACCAATTTAATTAAATACGTGTTTCGTCCTTTTTAGGTCGAAATGTTTGTTATTCGAAGCCCCACCCTGGCTTCTGCCAGGGGCCGCAATATAGGCAGGCCATAAATATGGCCAATTGTCTGAACGCTGTTTCTGGGACCTCTCCACGGCGATCCTCATCCACATGGTGGCACTTTGTGTCATCGGGTGTTTATCGCTTGTGTGATGTCCTGGTGGGGTAGAAAGTCAGTCGACTGTATCACAACGTGCTCGAGCTTTTGTTTTTTCTTTTTCTCAAAAGGACAAAAGGACACTGTACCACCATCGTCGCCATTCACCGTCCTTTTTAGGATACAATTTTTCGTTATTTGAAGCCCCACCCTGGCTCTTGCCGGGGGCCGCAATATAGCCAGGACATAAATATGACCTAATGGCTCAACGTGGTTTCTGGGACCTCTCTACGGGTGATCCTCATCCACATGGTGGCATATTGTGTCATCGGGTGTTTATCGCTTGTCCTGGTGGGGTAGAAAGTCAGTCAGTCACTGTTTCACCTTTTATTATAAGTTATTCCCAATTTGTCCCCAGTTTTATTACCAATTAGCAATTTTTAGCTGATTTGAAACCCCATTCCGGTTGTTGCCTGGCCCCTAATATAACGTAACGGTTAAACAAGTTTTGTGGGACCTCTCCACGGGTGATCCTCATCCGCATGGTGGCACTTTGTGTCACCGGGTGTTTTTCGCTCTCTGTGATGTCCCGGTGGGGTAATACTTACTGTATCACCAGCCATTACTGAAAAATGACTGCAAGTTGTCTGATGTAGCCGCTACGAGTGCCCTAATTACAACTTGTGTGTGTGTGTGTATGCATGGAGGTTGAACAGAATTTGCATCCTGGATGTGATTTTCAAGTCGCCGGGGTGGGGAAGGTACCACCCGAAGTGGGAAAATAAACCCATTTTCCAAGTCCAAGTCCAAGTTTTTTTGAGAAAAAAAAAAAGAAAAGCTCGACCACGTTCAGACTGCTGCTAGCTAGCCTAGGCTGCTAACAGTCTCCGCCTATATTTGTGGTCTGGGCTATTTACGTCACTTTCGTGACTGAAACCAATTTTCCCCAAAAAAAATTGTTAGTAGGTACTGTTCGGACTACTGAGACAACAAAGGAAACAACTTAATGAAATTAAAACTCCACGGGGTTTTGGGGCGGGTCCAGTACAACAGAAGGCTTCAGATCAACAGAAATCAGTTCGCCTTGCTTAAATGTGTCGGTCCATTTTCTTTAGACTGTATTACTACCAGGCAATTCACCGTATCATGGGTACCGATACCTGGAGGTCGCGGGCCGCTTGAGGCCCCCCCCCCCTTTTTAAGTTTTTTTTAACTATACACACACACAAACTCTCACACACACACAAAACTTGTTCCAAAATATGCTCTAGTTAAATTCGCCAGCTAGAAGCTTCTGCTTCTTTGCGCTCCCCAGCTTTGAATTCCGGAGGAAAGTCATGGTTGTTCGTCCATCTGGACTGTTGGCTTTGAACTAGCACATGAGTTTCACATGTACATCCGTTTTACTGGCTAAACCAGCTAGAATGAGAGACCTGTTGCCAAGTGGCCAGCTGAAGGACAGACACCAGTTTGCTTGACGACTAATGGAGTTAGAACTATGTTCCAGAAAAAGATGACACGGCTGTATTTAAATGAACGTAGAATTGTGTATATAAATAAATACAGCATTTTCAGTTCGAAGAAAAGTAAGGCCTCCTGAAAAAAAACAAAATAAGCCCTTCTGCATTTGTTAAAGCAAAAATTAAAATAAGACCCGGTCTTACTTTAGGGGAAACATAGTATTTTTATTGTTGTTTGACACTAGAAAAATAGAACCAGTATGAATCTGCTTGGTATAAGAATGCCAGATTTACTAGTTTAATCCAGTCTGCACTGCTTGACACTGACCTTTAACCTAACGGAGTAGGTCAGTACTCTAAAGTGCGACGACCCGCTATATTACTTTAGCTCAGGATCAAGTAAGTAAATACGCCGATTGGTTGTCGCAGGCTGTGATCCAGCAGATATTTAACCTATCATTAAAAAGAAATCAAATCAAAATAGTATCGGGAGCAATAAGCTTGGTATCAGAATGCCTGAAGTGACTGCTGAAGATGGGGATGGAGCGCTTCATGTAATGTCGCGAGTGATATGATGTCGGTTCATAAAACTAAACGGAATTAAACTAAAAGTATGAGGCGCCAACATATAACACATATATACATAACAACTAAATCACTATACTGATAGTGGCTTATACTTGAGATTAGCTGATTCGAGCATTATACATTGTTACTAAGGCCGACCAAGATTACAATAAAATGTGAACATGGCGGGAAATTGATAACAGTTGACAGGTCTACGCCAAAGTAGCTGTCGTTGTCAACTACAAATGCTGAATAAACTCTTGCCCCCCCCCCCCCCCCCCCCCACCAACGTTCTCCTCCTTTAATGGCTGGTAAACCCCAATGGCTGGGGAATTTATTCATAACAAGCTAGATCTGGTCAAGGAATTTGGGAGCAGGGAACAAATGAACAATGAGGCACGAATAGACCATGATCTGGGCAGAATGGTACCGCTAAAAGTGACCAGAGAATCTGATCCCTGAACAAAAAGCAAGACGGACACATAAACAGCTTGCTACTGGTACCATCGGAATCGGAACTCTTCGCTGGCTGCTGAAGATGAGGATGGTACGCTTATGGGAACTTCCGAGTGCTATGATGTCAGTTCTTAGACCAGCACTATACATTTCTTAAAGTCATTGGAATGCGTGCACTGTGGTCATCTTGTCAGTCTGTATGGCAGGATTTTATCTGTCTGTTTGTCTGTCTCTCATTCAGGTGTATATAGGTGTGCCAGTGCATGAATGTCTGTATGCATTGTGTAGGTGTAAGTCTGTGCGTGTGTTTGTGAATGCATGTAAAAATGTATATTTGAATGCACGCATTTGCCTGTGTCTTCTATAGTTTATCTCTTGTGTGATGTTCTGGTGGAGTAAAAAGTCAATCAGTCACTCAGTCTTTTAACGGAATAATACTCCACTACTATCTGACAAGAAAAAAGGTTCCATTAAAAATTTGCCATCTATACTTTCGTATTTTTACACTACACACCCCGCTATGCATTTTGCTATATGAATATAACATGTTTCGATGATAAAATTACAGTTGATGTGTTCAGGGTATGTGTCTGGAAGAGCCAAATTAAGAAAGGCCTATCTGCCCAATTTGTGATCCTTGTAAATTTAATGGTGGTATCAAAGAAACGAATTATTCCTAAATGTATAATAAAAGTCGAAGGTGTTATTTTGGGACAAGTACAGAAATTCAAGTATCTGGGTACGTGCATAACTGAGATAAGAAACTTAAAAGGACAGGCAAAAACCGCATTTTATCAAATGAAGAACATCATGTGCAATAATATATCTTGGTCATTGAGAGTTAGAAAAATAATTCTTCCTTGCTACATACATCCAGTTTTAACATATGGCTGTGAATCCTGGACAATCAGTAGGCAGGCCAAACAATTTCTAGAGGCCACAGAGATGTGGTTTTACAGAAGAATGCTTAGAATACCTTGGACAGCCAAAAAAGAGCAACCAAGAGGTTTTGAAAGAGGCGGGAGCCTAAAGACAACTTATCACAGACATCAGAAAGAGACAGTCATCATTTTTCAGCTATGTTATGAGAAGAGGGAAAATAGAAAATGTTGTGACCACTAGAAAGATTTGTAGAAGTAGGGATAGAGGAAAACAACGAGAGAAGATTTTTTGACAGTTGTTGCATGGCATGGAGGTGTGACTGACTGACTGACTTTCTACCCCACCAGGACATCACACAAGCGATAAACACCCGATGACACAATGTGTCACCATGTGGGTGAGGTCCCAGAAACCGCGTTAGGCCATATTTATGGCCAGGCTATATTGCGGCCCCTGGCTTCAGTTGATCTCTTTCCGTTGCCTGCCCTCACATTTTGGGTTGTCTTCCTTTATTTTATTTTCAAGATCGTGTGATCATTTCTTCTCGTGAGTTTTTTCCCTTCAACATATCTTTATTATATATATATAAATTTTTTTTCCAAATCTGGGCTCTCCTTTAAATAACAGTCCCAAATGATCTACGCAGAAAGTTAATCCAAACAGAGCCTCACTCATATCTAAAATTCGCATTTCTTTTGCGGCGATTCAACCGTGTCAAAAGTAGG